TGAGAGCAAAATTTGATGGACCAACAAAGTTACGAAATAAATAAGGTCATTTTTGTTCATTCTTTATTTTTACACACACACACACACACACACACACACACACACACACACACACACACACACACACACACACACACACACACACACACACACACACACACACACACACACACACACACACACACACACACACACAATCTACAACATGCAGAGAAACTGTTCCTACTCGTTTGCAGTTTCTGCAGTGTCATTTGTACTCTTCCAAACACCTGCTTTCATAGACACCTAGTTATTGAGGAGTGTGCGCTGCTGCCACAAGTGTGTTATTCAACACAATGTCAGGATGATGGCCATTGCAAGACAAAACGAAATCTTTCGTTTCACAAAAATCTTCTGTGACGGACACAAGTAGCCGAGTTCTCTTTTCTGCTCTGGCCCCTCTCGCAGTGGTGCGCTATAGTAGCTCATATAACTTAAGGCCTGGGGAAAATGTGTGTACTGGGTCCAAACTAAACTGTGCAGCCCCCGTGGCTGCTTCTGCTGGACAGCCGGTTCTCGGACCGGTGTATTTGGTAGCGATTATTAACCTTTTAAGCCCTGTATTTTTTATTTTGGTTCGATACACTACTTGTGCGTGTCTTTCTTATAGTTAGGATCTCAGAAGACTACAAAAAAAATTGAGCTAGTGGTGCAAGTATTTTTGGATTAATTAACGAGACATCAAATTAGTCAGTATTTAGAAAATGAGGAAAAATGGCTTCTTTCTTCCTGCTAATTAATAGTATACACAAAATGGGATCCAACGACTTATTTGTCAGCCTGATACTCTCTGAAACAGCTTCAGTACGTCGTCCCGAAAATGGCGCTTACCCGCCTCACCTTACGCGCCTCGGCTTCGCCAAAGACATCGGTCGCGCTGCTTCTTTGTGGCTGGCACCTCCACAAACGTGTCGCAATATCGATTTCAATTGCAGTGGGGATCGTTGAAGAAATATGCCCCCCAAAAATGAGCAGTATTGGTTGTTTCCGAGATGCTAGGGGTAATGTTGTGCGGTCGTGTCAATCGACACCGCCAGGGCCGAAAGGGTTAAGTATTATAGCTTGAAGTAGAGCTCGCATAACTGAAGACAATTTCAGAAAGCGCTTTACCGTAAGTGTCTACACGCATTTCAAGGAACATCATGTTAGGCTAAGGTGCTGGCAATTAAGACTGGCGCAAAATTGTAATACCGCAATAAATTGGTTGGAAGACCTGCACAAAACCGATGCACTATGCAATGCAACAGCATTCCTTCCATTCTTCTCACTCAAGTAAACACAGGTAATACAAGAAGTCTGCTACGTTATTCACCCATATCAAAATGTTTACCGACCCTGAAAGGATAACGCCTGTTCTGAAAACGTACTGCCATGCGCGTTTATTATTGTAGAGCAAGAACGGAACATGGTGGAGACAGTGCCACTCGAGCGATTTAGAAATATCTATAGAATGGACGCACGTACCTCCGGGTCACGACGAAAACGAATGCTGACGTCAGATTGACGGATGACACGCTCCCATTTCGTTCTTCGGTTGTCCTTAGGAAACGAGAACATCGCAACTTCGGTTCCTTCGGCGCGACGATTCGCCACGCAGCATCGTCCAACCGTTCGGATTAACAGCAGTACAGACTTCGAATATTCAGTGCACAAAGCGCATCAGATATCCACGCTGCAGAAAAACACGGTCTTCTCGAGTCACGAACCACGACACGAAAACGTTCGTCAGGCTCGGCAATCCGTGTCTGTCGAGCGATGAAAGGCACGTGCATGCAGCGAAACACACCGGTCTAAACATAGTGACGTCAGAGCCCACGGCAGAAGCAGTGAGCAGGCCTGAAATTATCTAGGTGGCATTGATCGGGCGCATCTGGCTGACATTGACAAAATAGAGTAGGTGTTGACCACTCTCCTCATAGCCCTTTCTTGCTTTCGCCTATCGCCTAGCCTTCGCGCGTGCTTTGGGGTCATAGGGAAGAGACCCATGATGTGGTGCCTCACGATGGAAATATGAAGTAAACTTTTTGGTCAGATGTGCACAGATCAATGGGCGGCGTCTTGCATTCCTCGTGTTCACAGTATTTGCACTCAAACGGATATGGTGTTCTGAGATAGCGTGTCGCAGTTCGTGGCACTATGCGGGCAACCAATGGGGAAGCGTCACTACAACACCGCTGCATGCGCTGGCGCCATGAGGCAGTGGCGGCATTGATATGTGGGTTTAACGTCCCAAAACCACCATATGATTGTGAGAGACGCCGTAGTGGAGGGCTCCGAAAATTTCGACCACCTGGGGTTCTTTAACGTGCACCCAGATTTGAGCACACGGGCCTACAACATTTCCGCCTCCATCGGAAATATAGCCGCCGAAGCCGGGATTGGATCCCGCGACCTGTGGGTCAGCAGCCAAGTACCTTAGCCACTAGACCACTGCGGCGAAGAACTGGCGGCATTGCTTCGAGTCATAAAAGATCTAGCCAGGACACACCCAGTATGGTACGTATACTTCAACGACTTCAGGCAAATATTTTTAAAATTACAACTTGAATTAGTTACTAAAACGCACATCGATTAAGATTGTTTTATAGCAATAAAATATTGAGCACCTTGAAGTAATGCATCGATTTGACACATTTATCGGGAAATTTTTATAGGTGGTGCCAGAAAGTGCTGGGGCAGCTTACAACAGGATATGCCTCGTACACAAACATTGCTACTCTCGCAAACCTCTTTAAGTGTTCACTCAAGAAGCGAAGAATGTCAATCAAATGAAAAAAAAGTGGCAGCTTTGTCGCAAAGGCGAAGCTACAGCGTACTATTTAGTACACTGTAGGCGAAGCAATGAACGCGATAGCAACAAATTGGAAGGTCACGCTAAGAATAGCAAGCAGATTAAAACGCGCCCCGCGTTTCTCACGCGCAAATGACGCACGAAACGTACTCGCAGGTACAGACGAACGCGAATGAGCGCCTCAGTTGTTACTAATTCGCTGTGTCTGAAAAGCGCGCCCTTTTCGCTAATGGAGACTGCGCAGCGAGTGTATGCAGTGACCTTTGTGAGCCGGGTAACTACAACAGAATAGTTCCGGTGAAAGCGCAAAGCGTACGATTCCCCCCCCCCCCCCCCTTATCCGCGGGACAAAGTACGCGTGTTGTCGCTCGTGTTGTCAGCGTGACATAACATTCTTGATCGGAAAGTGCCGCGAGTCGGGTTATAGGGCTGGCGCCCGCACGGTGGTGGTGGTGGTTAGAAGAGGAAGCAGCTCCCAACATCTGCAGCCCGGTAGGGAGCACGGCGCAGCGCCTAGGTGGCCGTTCGGGAGATGATATAGATAAGGTTTGAGCACTCGGGAGAGGAGTGTTGGACACTTTGGAGAGGATATAAAGGAGAGTGTCGCTACAGTCTCTATTAAGAGACTGTAGACGAATGGATGGATGTATGGATGGATGGATGTGGCTGTACTCTTGAGATTGGGCGGCGGCTAACGCCACCTAGCCGTAATACTTAGTGAACCAACCACGAGATCTATCTTTTTTTTTTCTTTAAATAGTGAAGTTGAGGATTGGTACTTGGCAGTGAAGGGTTTAATTTTCACTCGTGCCTTGACTTTAGCCACCAATCAGATAACCTTCTTCTAGTTAATTCTACCCGCTTAAAGTCTATTTTGCCCTCCCTGTCCCTGCGCCATCATCCTGAACTATAGGGTGAAGCCGACCGACGCTCATTGCGCCATCTCGCTGGTAATGCTGAAAACACGATAGTTCCCCCGAGATAGCCATCGCCAGCGGTAAGTGGTAGATATAAACAGATTGCCGTTTCAAGGTTGAATGTTGAAGTGCTTTTTGTGGCTTAGTGGATAACGCCTTGCACACTCGCAAAAAGAGTTCAGGCGTTCGATTTCACGCGCCGGCGTCTTTTTCTAAATTTTCCTTACTTCAGTTTGCATTCGATATATATATATATATATATATATATATATATATATATATATATATATATATATATATATATATATATATATATATATATATATATATATATATATATATATATATATATATATATATATATATGTATGTGTGTGTGTGTGTGTGTGTGTGTGTGTGTGTACCGTGAATGACGCCGACGACAAAATTCAGCCGAGAGTGTCCATATAATCGCTATCGCAATAAAGCAGATGCAAATTTTCACTTTTAGGTAGAGCTAAAGTATGATCAAAGTAATCAAAAACTTGACAAAACAGCTTCTATATCTGTGCCACCAAACAGTAAGACGTCTACGGTGTATTGCCATATCTACCTGCCTCAATCTTCGTGTGGTGAATCGTTTGGCGGATCTGCATTGTTCTGCACACAATGTTAAAAGATACCGTTAAGGAGAAACTTTTTCTCTGCTTTTCTACCCACATTTCTGCTACAGAGTGCACTGGTCTGCAGTGTAATGTCCGGTCAAACTAGCAGGTCGAGATATTTATGGTTTAAAATTATTATGCAATATAAAAAATGCAAGGCAATAAAAGAAAAATGAGATCTTAAGGCCCTAACTAAAAAAAAGCAAATGCAATGATGCACTGCAGTGTTACGCATACGTACAAGGACTGTTCCTGCTACTCTAATACAGTGGACTCTTCCTACAGAGCAAAGAAAAGCATATACAGGTGCGATGAAGAGCCACAGTTTTCTAAAACGTATAAAAATTTTATTTTCAAACCATCCTCTCTTTGCACCCTGCTGTCTACCAAATTTGCAGATTCTTAGTGGTGAAAGCTACAGTGTGGTCACAGTGCTGGATATCCTGGCAGGTTTGCAGGACTTGTTCAAAGTATATGGTAGAGAGTTCACAAAAGTGGCATTGCCTCTGTTTCATAATAAACGTCCTTGTCCACAATTCGGCGAGGAACTCTGAAGTTACTGTTTCTACCAGTCGCTTTTTCAAGACAATGGTATTGAAAATCGTTTTATTGATAGCTGCTGCAAATACTGGTGTAAGAAAATGCCTCATAGGTATTGCAACAGTATATCACACCAGCATTTCACATAAAAGTTACAGCTGATAATACCAGCTCATTGTCATCGAAATTAAAATGATGAAAAAAAATGAGAAAAACAGCAAGGCATGACAGGTGCTCAGTATATAAAAACTGGCTACACGCATGTAGCGTAATAAAAGATACATAAAAATTTGCTGCCAAGGGGATTTTTTTGGTCAGTGAAAAGAACGCCTCACACTCAGAACTTTGAAACATCTGTCGTAGAATGCAAGCAACAAAGCTGAGAAGACTGTTGGACTACGACGTGCTGGACAGCTGGTCTAAGATGGTGCACGCATACTTCAGTCGTGACAACAGCTCCGGCGGGCAGCCTTTGCGCAGAGTCTCAAGCCGGTACGTATGGAAAGCCCGGCTGTCGTCTACGTATGTCACTGCCGCCATCAATGGGCACAAAATTAGCTTTGTGTGCCCACGGAAGAAGTTTATCTGGAACAAAATGAGAAAAACTTGGTGGAAGAGCAACTCCGACACCGTAAATATTCAAAATAAGTGAACGAAGGAATGCTTTCTGACACTCCTGAAGAAGAGACTCATCAAATGACTCTGAAGATAGTTCCGAGGTCGCATTAAAGAATATGTCCTGGCACTCAGTTTTTATTGCTAGGTCATCTGTATGCTGCTAGATCGGGCATCAACAACAAGCGCCAAATAGAGCCAGTGAGATCACACTTCGGACCACCCTTTTCATATACCTTCAAATGAAATTCTGTGTTACCGTGCGGGAAAAACTCAAAATTACATTTTGAGGCACCCCGTGGCGGAGGACTATCAAATAATTTTTCACCATCCAATTTTTGGAATTTTGACCAACGAGTGGATTAACACCGCCACTGAAGAACATCGTATTCAGTGCGATGTTCAACACTGCGATGGCAACAAAAATGACTTTTTCCCAATACAAAATTGAAATCTTGTGATGCTGGGGTCCCACCCTAACGTAAATTGTGGTTATTAGCTGGTTGCCCTGCCAAGAGGTGGGTGTGCTACACGAAGGCCTTATATAGAGTGGCTACAGGACTTTGAACTTTATAATGATTAGGTTTTGCCAGTACAGTAGACCGTATTGCAACAGAGTCAAGCCCAATTACACTTGAAAGTAAGGATAATATACGATGCTGTCTTCTGTAAGGACCCACCTGCACAGTTCCGTTGGTCAGGTGGAATGCTATCGCTACCTGCGTTCGCCGCCATGCCCGTACGCATGGCAGCCTGACCAGATTGTCACATTCCCTAGGGCTGACATCTGCCCCTGTTGTGAGAAGGTACTGCTTCATGTATGCGCAGAAATACTTCAGCAGCGTGATCTTTTTCTCCAGCAACGGTGGGTAGTTTTCCAGAGTGTGGTAGTGCTCAATGCACTGCTCGTCGACATACGTTATGCTCCTGTACAAACAAGAAATATTTTTTTTTATTAACAAGCCCTAATGCAACGAAGGGCATAATGTTATCTCAAATACTTCTGGCTCATTATTCCAGCAACGCCTTGAGTTGTTCAGTAACCACTTTCTCACAGCGGTGAATGAACAAAAGCTTTGGTCTTCCCTCATGACCACAACAGCGATAAAAAAAATAGTGGGTTTCTGAGTGATGATTTTCAGGCCCGAATTTTTTTCAATGCAAGCAACTTGCTTTTATAAATCTTCAGATGCACTCCACTGAGATCATTGTTGTCCAAAAATGAACTGGGTCACCCTTTTTGATAAAGAGTAATTATACTTATTGAAAATTTGCTGTGCCAGCACAGTTAAGGCTACAAAATCGAAGCACGCATTTTTTTTTACTATGCCTCCGCATGTATCTGCATGTAGTCTGCAAACACTTACTTTTATAGACTACGTAGCATAAGATAAAACATATAGGTACTACAGTGGAACTTCTATTATATGTCCTCCGGTTAGGAGACGACCCACTTTTTACAACGAATCTGTTTGGTCCCAGCGAAATCTCTATAAAGATAATGCATTAAAAACCTTGGTTGTACGAGACGGTTTTATGCCGACCCCGCATCTTGCAACGAGTTTCCGATTTCATTTGAAGGAAAAAAATCTACTTTTACTCACATCAAAAGTTGACCATATAGTCATGAGTGCAAAATATAAACTTGCGTTCCCACCGATTAACGATTAGAAAAGTAACGATTGAGACGGTATGTCTTCTTAGAATGGAAAATTCATTCTGGCAGTTCATGCCCTTCTGCATACGCCTTGATTGCGTGCGTATGCAGGGTCGTTGCCTAAAAAAGCTCCACCCAGAGTAGCTTCAGCTGGCCGAAGAGCTCATTTCAGAGATTCCGATACTACGTATTCTCATGTGTTCAGTCTGTGGAAACGTTTCCTGGTCGACGTACAGCTGATCTTCTGCCTTGGTTAGTGGCACTCTAAGCCACAATCTTGAGAACGCAAAACGGCACGATGCAGCCATTTTCACCATGCAAAATAACTTTCACTTGAAGTCGATGTGCATTATAACAGCGAGACCTCGCTAACTGCGCTTCGTAAAGCAACAAATTACAATAGCTCAGTCGATCACGAAGGCATTCTGCGCAACCTCGTGGTCTGTAGCCATTTAGTAATGGCATAGTCACTGTGTTTATTTCTTCTGGCAGGAGGCTGTTGGCAACGCCGTTTCGGTTTCGTTTTCATGCATAGACAGTTTTTGAACTCAATTTATCGGAAGAAAAATGTGCGTTGAATTCTTTTTTTTAAGTTGAGAATAAAAATTCTCCCGCAATTGCCTCAGTTAAGTAGGTAATGCTGCCATTGGCAAGAATAATTTAATCTACCTTTCTTGGGGAAGCACAAGGTCGTATTGTGTGCTTATTCAGGCGGTCTGTACCTGTTTTTTGTGCAAGGGTAAGTGCCACTGCCTGTATTATTTTAAAGCGAAGCTCCCTATGCCGTGGGTCGTGTATCTGCGATGTATGTAGCAGTAGTAGTAGTAGTAGGTAGCCACCTGCATGGCTGGACTACAAGAGTGGCACACGCGCACCTTTTTCGATTGAGGAGGTAAACCCGCACACGTTAGTCATAAATAAAAAGATATTTGTTTCTGATGAGATATACTACAGAGATGAGTGTCATTCACTTAATCTACAATTAAATTTGCCTTGAATTTGATGCTTACTAAAAAAACTAGTAACAGAAGGACGCACTTTGAGCACTATCTGGCCAAGAAACGTTGTCACGTTAAACTCGCTGAGCGTAACCTCCTTGGTTTTAGCAAGGTTTAGCGAGGGTTGGGCCACAGTGTTATGAATATAGTGAACTAGTATATAGCCGTACACTAGAGGCAGTGAAACGTGGGAAGTAGACACGAAGCGCAGGCCGTAAGAAATTGCGCGAGTACCACCTCTTGTTTAGACCCTGGAATGTCCGCGTCCGCTGGATGGCGGTACTTCTATATGCTGAATATATGCTGAAAAGATGCGAGATGGCAGTACTTGGAGTGTTCACTAGATGGACGGACAGTCAGACAGACAGATGCACAGACAGATGTACGGATGGATGTAGACTGACAGAAACAAGGACAGATGGACAGATGCACGGACGGACGCACGGATGGACGCAAAAACGAACGGATAGATGGACGCTTCGCCTTACTCATCATAATGCACTCCGACGATATGCTGCGATTTTTTTCATTATACAATGCCCAGATTACAAGACAGTATTTTGTGGTCCCCTGAAGGTATTATAATTGAGCTTCCACGGTATGTTCAAGATTGTTCGTTATGTTAAGAAAGCTTATTCTGTGCACATTTTCATTTTCTGCCATTTCTAATTTTCTCACATCTTTTTCAAGTTTTCCTGCCCCTGTAAGCAATGAGGGTCGCTCTGTTGCAGCAGGTTCACGTTGGAGCCTGCGATCTGAATTCATCGAGCAAAAAAAATGAAGGCAGCGGCGCATCGTGAAATAGTTTGTTTCCTGTATGCTTAATCGCCAGGAAAGAAGCAGCGTGCAAGGGATACTATCAGCGCAAGTAAGGTCTCTCATCCTGCTAACCACTTCGAGAGTGACACTGGCAACCCACAACTCTTCAGGACCTGCAGCTGGAAAGCGAAATTGCAACTGAAAATTGCATGTGAAAGCAATGACCTATTTAATAGATTGCTTTGCATACATAGCCGGTATTTCGGTTGCCTACTATTGCTGACGCAATCACGCTGAAGATGGCCTACTATAACACTGAGCTCATCTGCATCTACGGCGGCAGCTGTTCTTGGCACTTTGTGATGAGAGCGATCTAGATGATAAAATTTTCACTGCAATGCTTCGCATGGACAACACACATGTTCATTTAAGTTATGTAGTAGACAGTATGCTTTTCACTGGGCAAAAAGTGTTTTTGATCAGGGCAGGTAAAGAGTTTCACCCACTTGGAATAATTAGCAAGAGACACCCATTCCCAAGCAGTTGTGGCCAAGATTTTCGCAGCCTGTCGATGTCTTTACGTCCACTAACAAAATCACAAGTGTTTGCGAAAAGTTAATGCGGCTCCAAAAGTAGAAAAGTGACATCCAACCCTGTGTGCACCGAAATTCAGTAAATAGTTTGTTGTCTGCGTAGAATTTTCAACAGCATAGTTTTTTGCTTAGCCATGACCTTTTTTTCTCTAAAGATAAAGCGGACTGATTTGATAAAGCTGCTCCCTACATTCGTTCACTCGCAATAGATAATTATAGCACTTAAAAATAATGAACATTATTATGCGGTGCTTGATTTGCATGCAGAATTAGCTGCTGGCATATTGTAACAATGTTGAAGGACTCGGGGTATAATAAAACGTATTTATTAAAGGGCGAACCTGTGCCCACAACTCAAAGGGACTATGGTCGTAGCACGTTACAGCAGAACACCAAGATGTCTTCTTCTTCTACTTCTTCAAGAAGAGTCCCATGCGCGTGGCGCACATCAGCAGGGGCCAGCTGGGTTCTCGTGCTATCATCATCGTCTCTGCGCAACACTAGACGGCGCGCATGTATGTACCTGTGCGCGTGGTGATGGGCGCGTTGTTTGAATGCAGGCACTATGTCGCGGCAATATAAGTGTTACATGATGTAATTTGCAAAACCCGCATTGCATGATGTAATTTGCAAAAGAGTGCAACCATGATTTTAAGTAATTTTTTCAGAACTCATGCATCTATAAGTACACCATGGCTTTACGTAGCTGGGTACAAGGAAGTAATTTATCATTTAACTATACTTCAGTTGTCCGATCACCATAATTAGAATTTTCTACCCTGGACTAGAGCGCCCTACCCTTGCACTGTGCAAAAGCCTGCCTAGGGAATTGTGGGAACGATCATGTCCAATTTTCTTGTGTTCATGAGTGACATTGTCTTTATGTGCGCACTGGGTTGGAAGTGTATGTAGAGCACATGCAAAATATGAGATGGTGGAAGCACACGTTTATTTCACCAGTTGGTTGTTGACTGACCTACAAATCTGACGATTCCATTAGGAACCCCCGAGTCTTAAAAGTATTGAATCTAGGTACATGGTTGTTATAGCAGTCCACTTTGTGTGGATGCTCCTATTTCCTCCCCTCTATAGGTTTTCCTTCCCTCATGGTTACTGTGTCCTCTTTCATTAATGGAATCGGTACATTGCACAAGCATGGGAAGCTTTGATAAGAGCTCAACCTCTAATGCTACATAACATTTGCTATGGCCCTTAAAAACGTTAGAAGCAGGTGCATTTCTGCGTGCAGATTCTTTCAGCTAATAAATACATATGCAAGATCAACAATTTACATGCTAAATCTGTTTAGACTGATTTACATTTCGTTGATAAGCCTTGCAGACTTTGCTATCATATGCTATCAGCACAAAACAAACTGCATGCCAAAACTGCAGCACCCAAAAAGCAACGGGACACCTTACTTTCAGTATTTCGTATTTTCGTATTGTTGCTTCAATATCTATTTCTTAAAGCTTACCATGTTAAGTTTGTAGCTTAATGAATTCAGTTTTCATGGTATAAAAATCCGCAGCATCGCCTGCGAATGAGTAAACCTGAAGGAGTTTGGCATTTTGTTAGGGTTCCTCGGTTTATAAAATGAGTCTCCATAGACAAAACAGCTTTTGTTAAAGCTTCATAAAATGAAAATTCACTGATACAGACCAAAATATTTCTCTTTTAACGTCTGTAATTGCGGAGGAAGGGGAACTCACTGGCCATTGCCGAGCAGAATGATTCTGCTGTTGTCCTTGTAGAGCACACCGATGCTGTTGTCGCACAGCTGATAGCCCAGCCCATACTTCTCTGTGTAGTCCACCCACTTGCTAATCCAGAACACCGGCATGGAAGCCGGATCCTCAGCCTCGTCGGGACGCTCGAAGCGCAGCTCTGGTGGACAAGCCTTGACCAGGAACGTCAGGAGGCGTTGAAGCTCACTGAGGTGAGCCTTTTGCGGAGAAATTTCACTGGCCGGGCCCTCCGTCGCGGGCTTCTGCGAACCGCTTGGTAATGCAGCTGCACGAAAAGTCGAACAGCGAGAAAGTGTCCCATTGAATCTTGAGCACAAGTCGATGAATGCTCAAAGAATACTTCGTTCCATACATAGTAGTCAACCCTTTGGAGGCTGCAAGACGAAATTCAGTCAGAGAAATGTAACTCTGTGCACCCTAGAGCTGCGTTTTGTTGCAAGTGCCTGAGCAAGAAGAGCAAGGACAAGCAAAATTGCGATGTTTTCACATGAACAGAGAGACAAATAGAAGAATTATAAGAGATATAGAGCCCTATATTCACAGCCATATAATAATTGTTTATCGTGTAGTAACAAGATCTTCCAATTTCTCGCTCTGCATAAGACTGAAAGAAACAGCAAAACGGTGGGTGCAAAACTATCCTCCCATGCAAAACGCATCTGCAAGAAGTCGCACTAGGTGCCACGGGGTTTGCACAGAAAGGAGAATAGCTGCAGTAAGATCAGTGTTTTAAACTGTTATTGGAAAAATCAAATTAGCCCCTGAAGTGCTTTCAACGCCCCCATTTTTTTCACAAATGACTCCTTAGCTTGAAATTTGTCGATGGGTGAGAGAGAGAGAAAAGACTATCACGCACGCTGTTGGTGTTCGAGGCGCTGCGCAGGCTTCGCTTCCTTTCCTGTGCTGTTCCCAATAGGAGTCACCTTTGGTTTTATGTCTGCAAGAAAATGCATGCCTAAAGTAAGAACATCTTTAAAACAAGGGCTTCTATGTCCGAAGCACAGCCAAGCAATCTTTGATAGCACCCATACTAAATGACTTTTTCATGCTGAATCGTTGTAATCTATCTTTTTCATGAGAGAATTATGTTCCACTGTCTACAAATGCATCAAACTCAAATTCGGTAATTTCTAGACAACATTACATTCCAAGCTTCACTAATGAGTTGTAATTAAAGTGTAACTGAATACCTTATGATTATACAATCAGTTCAGATATTGATATGAGACTGAAGACATGGGCTCCAGACGTGGCACAATTAGCTTTTGGTTGCATTAATCTTGAGACAATAAAAGACACTTTGCACGCTGGTTCCAGAATGCGGCGTGTCAAATGATCCCTCGAACATCACAGTGCTCGAACATCGCAGCCACATCGAGGTTCAGCAAGACGATGACTGCACAGTGTTACAAGAAGGATCCAGAGATGGCGCATCTATAGCCTGCAGTGTCAAGACGCACGCTGCTTTGGGATTCTCTGCTTCCTCCAGTGTTCCTCTGTGAACTCCAAGATGAAATATCAAGTTGCGCCTGGCCTTCCAGTTCGCGAGACACTGCCTTGCCTCTGAAAAACATTCCTAATTTGCCCTCCTACCTCATGAAGCCACATCTATTCCTGAACCCGAACGATTATAAAACTTAGTCAATCCTCGTCATCAAAAGCCCGGTGTTTAATCGGTCACTTGAATAAGTCATAACAAAACAGCGTCAGAAGTTAATCAGTTCTAAAGTCAGCGCATAGGCCATGGAGAATATTCCTGCACCAGCCAAATTCGACTCCAGGGGCAACGCTGCAGAACAATGGCGAGCGTTCAAGCAGAGCGTCATGTTGTACCTCAAGGCAACTAACACAGCCAGAGCGCTACCTGGCCAGCCTCGGGGAAGGATCTTTAGAAAGACCACACCCAGAATTCAACTATGCTCATGTCAACAGCCTTCTCGACACACACTTCTTGCCGATGCACAATTAACTCTCATTAAACGAGTTGAGAGTAGTTCGACAGCTTCATAACTGATTTGAAGCTCAAAGCGCGTGACTGTGGATTCGGAAACGAACGAGAAAAAATTATCCACGACCAGATCGCCTGTGGCATCTGAAATGAAAAGGCTCGTGCAGACATTCTCAAGTTAAATGATCCGACCCTAGAGAAAGTTGAAAAGGTGTGTCGTGCCCATGGAGAATCAAGAATCCAAATGAAAGCATTTAAAGAGGGTCCTTCAAACAACAGAGTCAGTGCACGCAGCAAAGAGATTCGTCCATCGCACCAACGCCAATAATTTAAAGTCTGCTGAGGGAATGCCACAAGAATCTGCTGTACGAAAATGCAAGCACTGCGGTGGTGTTCCCGAGTGCTAACGTGAAGAATGCCCAGCTTGGAAACAAGCATGAAGAAAGTGGAAGAAACGGAATCAATTCGCAGCAGTTTGTAAAAGCAGCAAAATGTTTGCGGGCCTAGCGGTAGCTAGCGATAATGAAACCATCTTGGCAACTCTAAGCAGCCAAAAAAGCTCCATCCACACGTTCCCTACAGCGAATGGAAAGTTTGTAAAACTTCAAGCAAAAAACCACGAAGCAGCGTGCGACTTGACACTGCAGGCGATGGTAGCGCCATCTCTGGATCCTTCTTGTAACACGAAGTGTTCAATTAATCTAATGAGCCACTTATCTGCGCTCTTCTGGTCACAAGAATACACAACCAGCTTAAATAAGTTGCTCACACAAACGTGGCCACCACCGCTGAAGGGGATATGCTCAGAGAATTTTCATACAGAGATGCAGCACTGTGCCATGCATCTTCAGCATGTCAAACATTTTCGCTTTGATCAGATCAAAGTGAACCTTCTTAGACTCCCAGCAAAACGTGCCCCACTGCCATTTTGTGATCATGATGGCATTGCCTGCCCCTCTCTGACATGACACTGTTGCCAAAGTTTTTTCAGTTCCGCACGTAAATCCAATGGACCAGCATTTTAAAGTAAGAATAAATATGAGCGCACAACTACCCCAAATAAATACCCTGCTGTCTTTTCTTGAAAATTTAAGGGGGGACTTGGCAATGGGCACTGTAAATTTGGTCAAAATGTTCAGTTTTCTGATTAATTTCTTTCTGTAATCATGAAACCATGTTTTACATCATAGTGTGATTTTAGAGCAAAATAAGTCGTAGAAGTTGAGAAACAAGCATTTTACAGGTGGGCTGTCGTCAAAAGGTATGTGAAAATTGGGAATAGCAAAATGCAAATTTGAAGCTTTCCCTTGGTACAGTGCCACCATATTAGCATCATCATAAAGAGGACAGATTGGAGCTCAAGATAGCATCAATGCAGCATTTTTTGAGCAGTTGTTGTCGGTCATCCCTGTGCCATTTCACAACTTATTAATCTATAGCCATTCCGTTTTCTGCATTTAAATTGCGAAACATTGGTGAGTGCCGTAAAGCTGTCCATATTTGTGTGCACATCATACAGACTTTTGTAGTTGGCTTTTTGTAAAAGATGTTGGTAAGACGATATGTCCAGGACATTAAGAAAAATTTTTGTCTGCCTAATTAAATATTAAAAATAAATCAATAGCATTACGACACGAAATGTACCCTTGTGAATATTCTTATGCAAAAGTTTTGACGAACTTGTGTCTAACTAGCTAATTAATTTTGGGATGACAATGAGAGTCTATAAAGTGTTGTAACTCAAAAGTTATATTAGATAGCTCAAAACTGGTTTCAGTTATGATATCAGCACAACGAATTTCATCCCTTTGGCTTCATAAATAAGAAACATAATTTTCGTTGCCACGTCCCCCAAGCTTAACCAACCTTCCTTGGAGCAGTGCAGGCAGCTGATGCAGCTAGGTGCACACCCATAACTTGGGCAAGACTGAGCATCGTTGCCTGTACTGATCTTAGTTCTTTGATCTGATGATGGTGGTGCACATTTGTATAATAGAGGTACCACGATATTCCTGAATTACTAGATTTGAAGGTTTTTTCACATAAAGCAGAGTTTTTATGGAGACTTTCGAAGACATATTTGATATTCAGAGTGACATATGAATAGCACCATATGCTAAACAATATTTTTGGTGCAAGTTGTATTTCATCATATACCTAAAAAGAAACCCGAAGGGGCTATCAATATATATATAGCAAGGAGATGCAAAAAAAAAAGAATGAGAGCTTCGTTTACACTCACCAGAACAACTATGCCCACGTCAGAGCAAAGGCCTCTCCCGATTTTTCGCCAATCAACCCAGTCTTATGCTCACTGCAGCCACAGCCGAGAAACTTCTGAATCTCATCTGCACACTCAACTTTCTACCTCCTCCTCGTGCACTCCCCCACCCCCTTTTTTTTATTTAGTACGAAATGTAGACTTATACCCGAAAATACCAGCATTATTCTTGCTTTGCCACTACATTCCCCACCTATGCGTCTTCTTAACACCTGTTTGTTCTCTGACCCATATTGCTCTTTCAACCTGGTAGGGTGGTTCGAGCGTAAAAGCGTTTTTTTCTTTATTTTCTTAGTGAAAATAAATCCTCTCTCCAAGGGGCAAGACTGCATTGGCAAGCATGTAGGAGTTCTCCAAGCCACTTAAAAATGTAGCCAGAGACCGTGCCTAATGTATGCATAGGCTCATATCCATCACTGCTTCTGAGTATGCATTTTGTCAAATAAGAATGGCTAGATGGGTTTAATATATTCACTGCCTACCATTTTCGTGCTTTTCCACCATACTTTTCCGCATAAATGCTTTGGTAGCATAGTCATTGCTGTATGCTGTGAGCACGTTCTGTGCGTTTTTAAATGTCAAAGTAGTGTTTTCTGATCAGATTTGAAAAAAACTTTCCGACGGGATGTGCGACAAATGCAGGAAGGCATTCTAGTAGGCAGGGATTAAAATCAATACATTGTTAAATAAGTCTGCCAAGTATCACATTCATTGTTTTTCACTCGTGAGAAAAGGTACGTACATTTACGCACATTTACGTACATTTATTTATATGCACTAGTAAAAAAATTGGTACTCAACCAGAAATAAGGAAGAAAAGCTACAGGTTCAAAATTGCTCAGGCTGAACACCACAAGCCCTCTTATTCAGCATGTGAAATTTCATAACATTTGACGATTCTCGAGATATAAAGCTGAAGCCAGAACAATCTGTTTACCTTACTACACTCCCTTATCTCCTTTTCCTGGCTCACTTATCTCCTTTTCCATGGCTCGCTGCACAGTCCTCCGCTAAAGCCTCCTTTTGAGCAACCAGGTATTTTGCTCTATAGGCAAGTACTCTTGCAGCTGCTCACACACCTCTTATTAACACAATGAGCCACAATTGAACAAAAATTCAAGACGTCTAAACCTGTATGCATGTAGAGGTTATTAGAGCTAAAGTTCTGTAATAGGGTCCTATGCATAGCAAGCTACAAGTTAAAAGCTAATAAGCATCTATTACTACATCAATAAATGCACATGCTATATGTATGTATTTAAAGATGTGTGTGTGTTCCTTCCTCTTAGCAAACCTGTACATTCTTTGTTGCATATTGTATTGAACTGGCTGCTAGCCACTATAGGCTATCCAAGTAATTTTTGTATAGTAGTATATGCTATTTCTTAACTATGAAAATAAAGCCTCATTTCACAGTGATGGAAGTGACTTAACTCTTTCGAGTATACATTGGAGCAGGAAAAGTACTGCTTTGGAGCAGTCATAAGTATTTTCAGAGCAGAAAAAAATGCTAGTTTGGAGCAGCTATTGGTGTTTTAGGAGCAGATACTAAATTTGCGATACAATAATTGGACTTTGAAACATTGTCAAAGCATCTCGTAAATAATGTTTATAAAATATATTTAGACTACAATAATGTAAATATCATTAAGCAAAAAAAATGTTGGTCATGAAAAATGTATTGTGAAATGAGCCTTGTATTTAAAATGCTAGTATTTGTGGCAGAAATCAAATCAAACTGGAAAAACTGAGCACCACATCTTAGGAGTAACCACAGTCCCACATAACTGCTGCCGAGTAAGCAGTAGATAATTGGTATAGGATAAAAACAATCCTACTCATATTCTGATTTCACCATTAGCCTGCATGTTGAGCTGGAAAAAAAAACTTCCAAATAAGCTATATACTTAATATATGCTATTTCTTGTGCAAATGAGATCAGAGCCGATACTGCTGTACATTATTAGCACACTGTGATAACAGTACAGAGATTATTTTCATATTATTTAGGACTTATGAGTCGCTCAAACAGTAGAAGTTCGTCATCCTCATTCAGTGTCATTTCGGAGCAGGTTTGGAGCAATAAGAAATGTTACTGTTTGGAGCAGCATGGAGCAGCGATTCTCTTTTGGAACAGTTAGGAGCAATTGGAGCAGCACCTCCATCACTGATTTGACTGACTGAATTATCTCCTTGAATGAAATCCGACTAAATGAATTGACTCACCTGGACCCTCATTTCGCTCTAGCAGAGGCTTGCGGCCATTCACAGTCAGGGTGGCATTGAGCGTGTCATGGCGGGGCTCCGTCGTTAGGCAAGATGTAGGTAAACGAGACGGCATAGGCCCTGAAAGAAGCGACGCATGCGTGTGAGCCTTTCTACACACATTCAGCAACCACTGTGCTGAATTTAGTGTACACTAGGCACGATGAGTAAATAAAACAGAGCTTCGAGGCTATCAGCTCGTAACATTTGCCAGTCCATGTCAAAGAACCATAATACCATGATTAATACCCGTGTCACATGGTTGTTTAGTAAGCTAATGATCTATTGATTCCATGGTCCATCAGCTACGTGACATGTTTCAAAGGACGTCTAGTCAAAAGCCTATTGAGTGAATGGAGCAATTCATAACTCCATTCAAGCTTTGATAGCCACTGAACAATGAAAGCGGAAATGGTAGGAAGTGCCCTGATTTTCGGGGTGTTCATACTCACCATTAGAAAAGAAAAAAAAGAATATAACGAGCACGCTTCGAATGTAGCATATGTGAGCACTGTGAATCATTTTGTAAAGTATTTTTGCCAGTTGAAATATGTAAACTGCATATACCCTCTCCAACTGCAACATGCTTTTCGTCGTTGTTGCAATCTTGCCACGTATCACTTGCCCCCATTTCACTTCTCAATAGCTAAATGTTTATTCATAACCCTGCACAACAGTTTATCGACATGTTTAAACATAAAAAACAGACATTTGTACTTTTAAAAGCAAATTTATATGATTAAGCCTAGGTGACCTGAATATGAAAATAGATATCCACAGAGTCCCAACCTTTACAAGAAACGCCTGAACTGCTCAACATTCATTCAATGCTGCAGTATTGCTGCACAACAACCACATCGAGTAACAGTTGTGTTTTGATGGCCATTGACTGGATGGCCTAGCATAAGTGCCTGTGTGTCTCAGGAATAAAGTAGCTTCCCCTTGGTTTGGGAACAATTGTATCTCCTCCACTCTTCTCTGATGCCCCCTGACCCATATGCCTTACGCAATACCTCGAAGCACTGGCAAGTCTACGGAACTTTAAAAGAGTTGACTGTTGGATGAGTTGGTGTTTTGACAGAGAAACTATCGTGAGAGCGCAACTAAACAGGACGCATGAGAAGGAACAGACGAGGACAGGTGCACACTGCGAAGGTGTAGATCTTTCTTCAATGAAATCAGTTTGTAGTATGCACCATCGCGAGAACGAACTGTCTTCACCCGTTCCTTTTCAAGCGTTTTGTTTAGTTGTGCTCTCACGATGGTTTCTATGTCTACGGAAAGTTTGCACAAGATACGCATACTGCAGATTTTGGTACCAAATGCGGTTTACCGACATTCCTGACACAGGGAATGTGCAGTTTAACTGCAACTCATTTCAACAAAGCTGAAGTTGAGATAGCAGTGATTACTCGCCATGACTTTGTAGCTATTACGATGCTTGACTGCGAATACGAAGGTTGTGGGATCAAATCTCGGCCATGGCGGCTGCATTTTTGATGAGGGCAGACATGCTTGTGGGCCTAGTAGTTGCGTTTAGGTGCGAATCAAAGAACCCCAGGTGGTAGAAACGGCCAGAACCCTGCGCTTTGGTTCTCCCCACATTCATATCATGGTTTCGGGACATAGAACTTCAAATAATATTATTATACACCAGTGATTAAACATATGATAAAAGTGGTTTCATTTTAGTGGAGAATTCCTAGAGCGTTGCAATTTACCAGCGTGCAAGTATTCCCTCGTGCAACAAATCGTGCTTTAGGTACTTAGAAGTCGTCAGCTGCTAGCTCGTCATAAGATCACATGCTACGTGTCTCCAACAGGCAGAAGAGTGTTCCACACTTGCCTTCATGTGGCACTGACTACCTGGTTTCAAGAAGTAGGGGCAAAACTCGTGCCCTTCTGTTTTCTGTTCTTTATCAGTGGCTACCGACTGAATAATAAAGGCAACAAAACTCATTCGCGCAGCAGAATACTAGTGTTGAATTACATCCTCATATGTTACGACAAGAAGCAGTTTTGAATACGAAGAGCACTGGAGGCTCCGTCATGTAGTCTGCCTGCTCATCAACAAATACTATCACATGACTGCGAGAGCTAGTGACGTCAGTGGGCAGTTTCTGCAATGCTGTCAGGACTGCTGTTTTGTCTGCTGTGTTGAGTGCAGCGTATGCCTACTTCTTCGATCGTCAAACCGTTACTTATCTGCTTAAAAAATGCTTAGAAGTAATGTAATTAAAATCAATGTCTAATAATAACATGCACCTTCACCTCTCCCGGAGTCATACGAGAAGTTGTGATTATTCAAACTTCATAATACAAACAAAATCTAGTGGTCCCTGCGAGTTTGAAATAATTAACGTGAGTGAACTGTGTTTCTGATGCAGTTTTATAGACTTCAAAACTCAAAATACTTTTTAGGGTGTGACTGATATAACACAGATTGCACCTATATGTTGCCATCAGTTTGACGTAACCGTGAAATTCTGTTTGAATTTTTGTGTCACCACTTCGTTACATCCATATATATGAGGACTGTGTGGACATTCAAGCACTTCGTATATTCAAATGAACAGTACACTATTCCAACTCTCGTGAAAGATTTTGATTGAAATGTACAAATAGGTGTATATTAGTCCGCATAAAACACCCTGTCAAGGTAGTTTTCGCTGCAGTAGAGATCCGCCATACCATGAATACACCTCTCCAAGGGAAAGTCACACTGCAGCGAAGTCCCACTTCAAGTTTAAATGAACATACCACCCTCACATAAATTCCCCATTTAAAGGTTGTTACGCTGGCTTATATGCACTAAACACAGTACACTTAAAAATCTTAAACAAATTTTACAGGTTACCACCTGCATTCTACCTGAAATCCAATCCTGTTGCTATTCAAGGTTGCTTCCATTTTCTTTAAACCGAAAAGAATGACATCTGCGCAAGCCTCGTTTTAATCGGGCATTATTGTGCAGGTTAACTGGGTAATGACAGTAACGACATTTTTGTTTACAATATGCAATATCATAACCTGAAATTTACTATTCACAAAAGCTTGACATATATACACTAAGAAGTGGGCATTAGGGTGGGGGTGGGGTGGACGGAATGATCCCAGCTGTAACTTCGTTGAGCATTGGTCTCGTTATTTGAAGATTGTATGCCTGCTAATGGCAAAGTATCTTTTCGCTCACTTTTCCTCCTCCTCATCTACATTACAATTAGTACTACTAAAACACATCCCCTATATTTGGCATCATCGGATCAGTTCTCAGTAATAGCAGGTACTGCGAAAATTTACCAGAACAAACGAAATAATTTTGTTTCATTGCCCCTTTCACCCTTCGTCTTCTCTGCACTGCGTCAAAGTTACGCTGAACTAAAGAGGGGAATAGAACATCTTGTTTTTCCTTGTTAGACACAACTTCCATGAAAACAGCGCAGCCAAGAAAGCTATAGGGAACATTGTAAAATGAAATATTGCATTAACAATACAACTACGAAGAAATTGAAGTGGACGAAAGGGCACTTTCTGCTGGCAGTGATCGAATCGCTGCCTTTGGATTGTGTCCGATACTCTACTAATTTAACTACGATGATGGTCGTCCTCCTGTCCACTTCATTGGACATATTTGTGCATGCAAACATGGAAGTGTTACAGCTGCTTATAGCCATGGCAGCGAGTGTGGAACACTTCTTGCCAGCTGGCATTAATTGATCTTTCAACGAGTAGGCAGCTGTCCAATAAGCCCTTGCATGTTACCTGAAGGCATAAAGTCTGCCAGAACAAGACCCTCGCTACGAATGAAGAAAAGGAAAATTTTAAGGGCACATTTTTTCGCTGTTAAGCCCAACATTAATAGAGTTACCTTTTTGTCCATTTTACTTTGCTAACACGCAAACATATTTAAGTGCCATGTAATTTAAGCGCCTTTAAAACACCCACTCATTGCACGATTCCCATGTTTTGACTCCTGACGCGATTCTACACTTTTGCCATGCGATATAACGCGTGCAAAGGAAACTCATTCCACTGTGCAACATTCGTATTGTGTTTTTTCCCCAAATCTGTTTAGAGGTATACTGGCTCTGTAGTAGAACACTTGTTGTTATGTATACTGCCCGAGTTCAACTGTCACACTAAATTTTTTTGTATTTTATTTGTATCTTTCTAGATTTTGGTTACGAACTTTTTGCACGCCACAACCAACGATGCTGACATGAAATTTCTGCGAAACGAGCTTTTTGACAATCTTGCATTAAAATAGAAATTAAGCGAACAAAAGAAGGGTGTCGGACATTGCCTGGTGGTTTGTTCCCTGCTGGTGGCAAGATTTTTTTTCATTTTATTTTCTTTTACAGCACAATTATCATAATACATTGGAAAGAATTTTGCAGATGCCTTCCTAGGATTTGCTGTCTGTTTTCACAATGGTTGTGTCTAGCAAAGTTATGCCAAGACACTCACCCGTCGTCATGAATTCATCCTGAAAGATGGCCTCTACATCTGGTCGCCTCTTTGGATCTGATTGCAGCATCTTCCTGATGAGCTTTCTGGCAGCAGAGCTCACCGACGGGGGCACATGGTACTCATTTTTCTTTATGCGGTTATAAGTCTCTTCCACGGACGATGCCTCAAACGGTGGACGACCGACAAGAAGGGTGAACCTGCAGGTAACAGGATTAATGCAAGTCTTGCATGAAGGGCTTCGCTGTTCTTCACTGTATTTGCCGCTTACCATGCCTTTTACATTCAGGAGCCCTTCCCTAATCTGAAAAATGGGGGTAAGCAAAGCTTGCAATGCGAGTGCCTAACATACTTCTTTAACAACCAAGTTGCTCTAGCTCGGCATAAAATGTGTGATCGTGCCCTAAAACTCCTATTAAGATGGTATGTGCCACAGAATTTAGGGAAATGCCACAGCTCATGGCGTGGCCTATAATAACCCTGATAATTGAGAGAATCGCAGAGAGAGAGAGAGAGAAACAGAGAGAGACATAAAGAGAGAAAAAAATCTTCGCAATGCAGAATTCGAACCCACGCACTTTCGATCCAGAGACAAGTACGTGTATCGACCATTCTGCTTTTCAAGCACGCTCGTAGAACATAGCATAGCCTAGGATGGTATAGTGTAGCAAGGTGGTAGGAAAGGTAAGTGAGGTATAGGAGGCAGGAAGAGAGAAAAGTCCAGCTAAGAAAGAATGAAAAAAAAAGAAATAGAAAAATGCAGAGAAAAGAGAGAGATGACATCTAAAAAAGTGAGAAAAGTAGAGACAATGTAGGAGGAAGCAAGCAATGGCAACTAATGCCCCACCTGGTCAAGCCACACATGTTCAGTATAGCTAAGCCATGCACACCCACCGATACATCGCGCACAACCTCCGCTTCCTAGCGATCGTGTCCAGAGAGTCATGGCACGTCCTAAGAAAGTGCACATTCCCAAAGAGGAAGCCACACATCTCGAAGCTAGACTCGCTGATCGAAGGGGGATTAGAAATGGCCACGAGCACACAGCCACTGGCACAGTCTGCATGGCTGTGCCAGTGTTCGTGCAATTTAGTGCAAACTGACCACATTTTTTTTTTCTTTTTAATGCATCAATTTTTTTAAATGCTTCCTCCTTCCTTCATGCCAGAAATCTGACCTTCACCTCTATGCTTGGCAGAACACTTCTTCAGCTACAGGCAACAATGATTTGTGCTTGCAACAACAAAACGCAACAATCAAATGGCAAGAACTTGATGAAAGATCGGATTTTTAAACTAAAATTACCATCACCGGCAAGCTCACAATCAAGAGAGCAGTTATTAGAAAACAGTGCACACATACATGCGTGGAACTGGCACATCTTTGAGAGGCTGTATACACACATCACTGCACACTAGCAAGCAGGTGTTTTTTTTTGCTAATTAAGTCGTCACCCCCAAACATGTAGCTCATAGAAGCTTCACTTAATTGGTTACTCTGGTTTACTGCCTACGTAGTATGTCATAAATACTATTTCATGACAAGTAAGGCCATATTACAACCATAATTCTCCTTTCATTCACTGGTGACTTGTTTCCATAAGCCTCACAAGTGCCACAAGCAGACACCGTAAATTTGGCAGTGGCTAATAAAGAAAGCACCTCCTACATATGAAAAAATATCTGCACTATGTATGGAGTCTGTAGCACAATAGTTATCTGGCTGGCTAAGTTTCCCCTCTTGAAAGCTGTGCGTGCAATACTCTCTAAAAAACGCATCCTGCTCCACGATGAAATTCTGCGACCCCCATGCGTTGCACCAACTGCAGTAATATCTCCCTCCACTGGTGCCGATGCTACCATGTTAGGCGGTTATAAACACGAACACTCACAGGATGCATCCTATGGACCAGATGTCAACCTCGAAGCTGTGCCCCTTCTTGGCGAGTATTTCCGGCGCTACGTAGTTTGGCGTGCCACACAGGGTCTTATTCCTCTCGCCATCGTACCGCAAACGGGTGGCAAGCCCGAAGTCCCCCACTTTGAGTTCCATGTTGTCATTGAGCAGAAGATTCCCCAGCTTGAGGTCTCTGTGAATCACCTTCTGCTGCACAAGGTAGCGGCACGCAAGAAGAAGCTGGTAAAGGAAGTAACGTGCCTCCCCTTCCGTGAGATTCCTGCGACGCCTGTGCATTTCCATGAGGCTCTAGAAGAAAAAAAAATTCATTTATGAATTTTTGAGTTGAGCAGCTAAATATAAGTACATGGAGTTTCAGCATTTGGTCGCCTTGAAAATGAGGTCACTGTGGCTGGTATGCATGCCACAATGTTCAGGCCAGAAATCGAGCACCACAACCGCAAGACCACCGTAGTGGCTACCATTGGCCGACTCGAGGCTCATTCGACTAGAAGAAAAAATGGAGCTGAATTCATGTGTCACTCTGAATCGACAGCTCTGCCTATTTGCATGCTATACATAATCCAACACCAATGCATTTAAGTGCGAAAACAGCATAAGTGTTTTGAAAAGCTGGAGTGCACTGCTTGCTTGGAGTTACACTCGAACGCTAGACTCGAACGTCATTATATCAAACTTGCATCTTACATGAAATGAGTTCGTTATATACGAAAATTCGTTATAAATGTTTATTCTTCACACTAAATCTATTGCGAAACTATTTTTATTTAATTCGTTATAACCAATATTTATATATATGCGGATTGGTTATATCGAGGGGCACAAGACTACGTTGGGAATGAGCATCTCATGATATGGTGTTTATGGTGTTGACAATCTTACGTATGAACGGATACATACCCGTCGACTGCAAAGTTCCAGGATTATGTAAACATTTTTGTCGTCCTCGAAGTAACTGTGGAAGCCAAGAATGTGCTTGTGTTTAAGGCTGCGGTGAATCTGGATGTCCTGTAACATTTGCGAAAAACGGACAACGGTGTGGAAATTAATGCATGCCTGCCAAACTAAGGGCCTTTATACATTACACTGTAGAACAGGCTACCACTAACGTTTATTAAAATTTGGTAAGCATTTTTCAGACGCGCTTGTGGGTTTGTGCAATGACGTTAAAATGCACTGCGTGGTGGAGCTCAAATTTGCATGTCCTGCAAGACAATTGGTACAGTTGGCAGGCAAGCTTGCTTTGCACGTCAACAAGAAAACAAAACGCTTACAGATAAAAAGCTACAGTACGAGAATAAAACTCTTAAAACTACAAGCATTACGCAATTGAAAAAGCAGTGTGCAAATAGCGAAGTTTCATCTCAAACTGAATTGAAAACGAATAGTGCTCAGCAGCAGCCAGAAATATTTAATATCGAATCGCATACTGAGGACAATAAATTTTGTTTAAAATTAAAAGACATCCCCCCCCCCCCCCTCAAGGAAAAAAAAGGAAATCCAGTATGGTCATCCCTGGAGCACACAACGTAGCGAGTGACTGCTTTTGAAACGCTACAAGCTTTCACGCAGAAACAAACTATTCCATATAATCGGGGTTCAGACTCTCACTGTGATGTTACGGTGTTTTCTGCAGTTGAAAACGCCCGACGAGTGGGCAATTCAGTAGCAGATGAAGATCCATTGCAATAAAACTTTGGCAATACTTAAAGTACAGCTCCCAACTTTTTCCAGTATTTCAACAGATTATCCTTTCTTGAGATCAGGAGCTTTAAGCATATTTTTGAAAACCTTGACTATAAGGTATGAGCTAAGTGTACTGGTAATATTTTTTTTAAGCTAGCACTTCAACAATCTCCCACACTGTACCCTGGCATTTTTTTTTTTGCTAGACAACTTGTCGACGACATCAAACATAGTTTCAAGTTTTGAAACTGTCTTGAAATGTAAGGCTCACTGTCCCAACGTTAATGCTTCTTTCAGCCACCCCGTCCACAGGCAGCATTGGCCTTTGTCATGGTTTAAGCATTCGTCCTGTGGAATTATTCAAAACTACAAATACGCTCAAACCTAGATATAACGAGGCCAGATATAACAAAGTATCAGTTATAACAAGGTAAATTAATAGTCTTGCAATAGATATAGCGTTATAAATATACTTTCATGCCAAATTTTGGGTATAACAAACTAATTTTCGTGTACTGCAGATTTGAAAGTCTGATTAAATTATTCGATTAGGTATTATTCGATTTGAATTTGAAACTTCACACACCCGTAGTTTCTATTCCTGGGTCAACCCTTTCAGTCCAAGTGATTTCAAATGGAATCGTCAAATTTCTAGGTTAGCAAGCAAGAACGTGGTAAATATAATATGTTGTTCTTCCTCAAGAGCTCGTATTTAGCATCTGCTCAGCATATGGAGCCAACATGGAGTATACACCACAAATCAAGGTCGGAAGTCAACGAAGAAGTCACAGAAGTAGTGACTTTCTTCACGCATTTCACCGACGCAGTTTCTTTAACCGTGCAGGCGTAATGCTGTTATTTTAGTTTCGGGCCCAAAATTTAAACTTTGGCTATTGAATATTATGCTAGCTCATCTAAACAAATTTACAAGTAATAAATAAAGTAAACATTATAAAAATAATAAGTAACTAAGTGGGAAATCAATCACTCTTCATTGAAAGGATTCAGCAAAGACTTTTTCAGTTTTCTGGGCTACCATGATCATGCAAATCTCAAACTGTAAACACCAGTTGCATATTTACATTGAAAATGTGGAACTGAAAAGATTAACTTTCCGATTTGAAAGGACTCACAACAGAATTTTTCTCGGCCTAGTTTTTTACGACCCAATAAGAAGCTCACCCCCTGTAATGTTTGTAGGTGCAGCAGTTAATCCCCAAAGTGTGCGGTTGTTTGAGTCGCAGTATTTTTCTATCTAGAGTTTCTAAACCGTACATACACATCCTCCACCAACGTTGTGAAGCTATAGCCCTCATCACATTATGCTCACGGTTTTACTTTTACAGAAGCAGGTGAAACCGGTTAACCACCTTCATATTGACATTGTCAACCATTTTAGGATATGAAATGCATGGAGAATCAAGTTTTACAAATACTTGTATAACAGGAGATCTCTTCACAACCTCATGAGCCAGCAACTCGTGGCCTCTGATTAGTTCCCACGAATGCGTCAGCAAAGGCATTTTCCGAGGCCGCGATGCGCTCTTCGGACTTTATTTTCCAACACATTCACAGGTGCCGCTAGGCACTCAGCTAACAACTTTCCCTGAAGGTGGCGCCACCATCCTGCTCAGTGCAAAGGAATGCATATCTGCATGCCTTTCATTAGAAAAAAATAGTGTGCTGCATTTAAGCACTAGTATATAGACAATGGCATAGACCAGTAAAATGTCATGTGATAAGTACATGTAGACGTTCATTTTCTGTCACCAAAGGTGCCAAAAGCAGTTTTTATGAACAAAAATAAATTTGCATTTAATTAGACCAGCTCTCCAGATCGTCAACGATATTTGAAACTTCGGGGCAACAGATTAAAAACAGTCCTTATTCGCATTTTTTTTTTTGTAAATTCGAGTACTCTGAATACTAAGCAGCAAACTATGTTCTATTTCATTGAAGTGACCACAGTACACTTGTGTGGTGGACTGCGCTGTATGACAGTCATACCAAACTTTGCTACATTAGCTCATTGCAGACTGTAAATTGTGCAAATTAATCATTTTTATTTCAATGTAGGACAAACCTAACATACCAGGGTGTGGAAATCAACAATAATCGCATCAGTTCGTTATCCTAAAACCACACAATACAATCATCGCAATTACCATTTGCATATCAGCACTATTAATGCAAAGCAAAAATATGTGCCACAATAAAATTTAATTAGCCTGACCCAATAAAAGCTGGTGCTCCCCAACAGTCACCTTTTCTTTCTTGGGGGGCTTTAGAAGTGCCTTGGGTACCACTTTGCCAGCATAGACTGTGTTGGTAGCTTTGTCAGTCAACTCGTAGCATTTTGCGAACACACCCTGCAGAAGAGCAAAGGGCAACATGTCTCAACATTTTACCACCCGTAAAGAACTACAGTGACATCACTGGAGTTGAAAGCTCGAAGGCGGTGACTTAAATCACAGGACGGGGGGGGTGCACTTTTGCAACCCCCCCCCCCCCCCCCAAGATATCTCTTCAAAAAGTTTCAATTGACAGTAAGAGATAGCAAACTCGACATAAAACTAACTTTTGAATGGGCGGACACCAAGTGCATAAGTGAAATAGGCTTGTGCTTTCAAAAACACTGCAGAGGAGCTATTTGAAACGCTCGGGGCTACTTCTGACGCACTGAAAATGTCGATTATGCTGTACTTTGAAATGAAAAATAAATAATTGGGGTGTAGAATAGCCAAATTTCACCTATAGAACCAAAGATAACAAAGAATTTGCAAAATTGAAAGCAAGAACGAATGATATCTCTCTTCAAGCACATAGCCCCGCCACGGTGGTCTAGTGGCTAAGGTACTCGGCTGCTGACCCGCAAGTCGTGGGATCAAGTCGCGGCTGTGGCGGCTGCATTTACGATGGAGGCGGAAATGTTGTAGGCCCGCGTACTCAGATTTGGGTGCACGTTAAAGAACCCCAGGTGGTCAAAATTTCCGGAGCCCTCCACTACGGCATCTCTCATAATCGAATGGTGATTTTGGGACGTTAAATCCCACAAATCAATCAATCAAATCATCAATCTTCGAGCACATTATTCAGCGAGTGACTACTATTGAAAGACTGCAAAAATTCAAGCAGAATTTGTCAAGCTGTTTACCATGACCTCGCTTCCCGCTCTCACCCCGATCTTACGGCTATCAGTGAAGGTGAATGCATGTGTTCGTTGCGTACCTCAACAACAGCCGTAAAGGGAAGGTATCTCAAAGTAATTTTTGCGATACCTGGATAATGTGCAGCTCTATCCATGATCTTTTAGGTATTTCTAAAATCACCCATTTTTGGGATCAGCGGCTCACTGCGGTATTTTTTAACTTACTCAAGGCAGTGTTCAAGCAAGCTGTGGGCTTTTTTTTTTCAGTTCAACAGTCTCCCAGTTTATTTTCTAACCTTTGTCGGAGCCATGATACTACGCAGAAATGACAATCACCTTTAGAATAATTAAGCACTCTCTTCTGAACAAGGATTGAGTCGCTGTCTTGTGGGCAGCCAGTAATAATGCAGTATAAATTCAATGGTCTACTATGGTTGTATTATTATATAACACCAGTGAGCATAAAAATGCATTACTAGAATGTTTCGAGGTGTTAATCAAGGGAGGCCATTTTAACAGCAAATATGCTGTTTTTACATTTTTGACATTCTCTTGGTTGGCGTCTTATCTTTTAATGTTTACAAATATGCTGTAGCCTAACTAAATGTTATCTGAAGTTAACTTCGCCATGTAACATAAGTTTACCGTTCACCACTCAGCTCTGTTTTCCTTGATGCTTGTTTGTTTTAAATTTCATCTGAAATCAAAACTACTTTTTATATAATTAAAATTAATATTGTTAAGATTAAAGCGGCCACCAGTGAGAGATGTGTGCCCACCCCTTGCAATTTTTCTAGATTTAGGCTGCTGCTCAAAGGTACATTAGGACAAATATTACAATGGCTCTCTATACTGCAATGTCCCCTGTTATGCCAATTCCAGATTAGGCAGCCACAATTAACATTCACTGTGAAAACTTTTAAATGAGGCAAGGGTGTACGTAATTTGGAAGACAACATGATGTGTGTGTATGTGATGAACGTATGGGCTGATACAAGTCTGGAAGCCCCACCCAGGTGATCCAAAGTGCAACAGGTTATTGTCTCTTCAATTATAGGAATAGTGCTGCCCATGCTATGGAAGGCAGTGGCCATTCAGTTCATGACAATATGGAGTGTGTGAGCACTGGTACAAGCTTGTGCGCATCTGCCTCGGAAAAGAAAATGCCGTAGACTTCTGTAGT